TCACCCTGGAAATCATCCGTCATTCAGCCGGTGTCCAGCCAAAGGCCTTTAGTTTCACTCCAGGTCTAGTAGCCTTCACTTTGGAGCTGCAGGTGCTTGGCCAACTGACATGTGAGGCTTCTAAAAAGCACTTAGCACATTGCCTAGCACCCAGGAAGTGCTCCAAAGCTGGGAGGAACTTCTGCCCTTGTCTAAGCCGTGTGGTGCTGAGCATGATTGTTTAGCACCACTGGGGACACCTGGTAGCAACCTGGAGGCGTTGCACGCTCGGTGGGTGACCTCCAAGGCCAGCCCCGACTCTTAATTTCTTATGACTTAAATCAGGTGTGGCCTTGTCCGCACCTCCACTGCTCTGTTTGCCAAAGGAGCCACTGGCTTGGGAAACCAGTCATGGCGTGTCCACTGCACACCCGGGGCAGTCTTCCTCCCTTCTGCCATCAGCCTCAGTTGTGACTGCTGGGTGGCTGGGATGGCTGTGGGTGTGGACAGAGTCAGGGCCTCACCTGGAAGAGTCCGTGGGGGGTCCCGGCACTCGCCTAATGGCACCTCGGGTCTGTAGGTGTGCCCGCTCTGGCCTAGCCCATGCTATTCTGTTGTCATGGGCAGGATGGGGCTTGATGAAGCTGGGCCCAGCTATGTCCCAGCCTTTTCCTGTCTCCCTGGCTCTTTGGTGTCCTTATGCTGTGGCCAGAACTTAAACATTCACCCCTTTGAATGGTGCCTGGGCGCCGGGCTGCCTGACCTCAGGGCAGAGGTGCTTTGGTCTCTTTTGTTTTCTGGCTCCCTCCTCGCTATCCAGCTGTCCCCTCCTTTCCTGGCCTGGTTTCTGCCCTGTTTGTTCTGTGATTGTGGGCTGGCAGGTGCCTTGCACAGAGCCTGGAGGCAGCCACCAGGCCTGGCTGGCCCCTCCCACCTCAGGGGCCCCTGCCCACTTCCCCCAGCCAAGCAGGGGTCCCCTTCTCCTTGCCCAGCTGAGGCAGGGCCTGGAAACATGCCCAGGGGGGAGGCCCTCTGTGATGCTCCTGTTGCCATGGCGATCCTCAGAGAGAAGACCAGGGCATTCTGTGCGGGGAACCCTGGGCACTTACCAGCTCTGTCTGCCCTCAGACTGGCTTCCCGCTGCCGGGTGGTTCTTGAGAACGCGGACGCTGCAGCAAACACTCTTCTGTTGACCTTCTCCTCCAACCCCGGCCACCCCAGTGACCCCAACACACACCCCTGCCAGAGCAGGTAAGATCCCATCCTCAGAGGCTGCTTCCATGCCCAAGCCACGGACAGTTGTGACCCTGGACCATGCTGGCCTGGGGCCTCCCGCCATCCTGGAATAGTCGCTAGAAGGAAGACCCATCTGGGCCTAAAATTGCTGTGGGCGGCTCTCTGACTCCAGGTCTTCCAGCCGTCCTGGCTTGGGGCTCCTGCCTTGCGTCCCACACCCCGCGCTCCGCTTTCCCTGATTGTTATGCGTCTGGCACAGATCTTAGGCCTTGGCTGTTCTGTGTACGAGTTGCTGAGCGGCTGCCCTGCTGACCTGGACTGTGCATTCCTGCAGGCAGTGTGTGTATGTGTGTGTGTGTACACGCACGCCTGTGTCAGATCAGGTGCAGTTTCACCACCAGAGGTGGGTTGTGGACGCACCATGGCATAGACGGCAGAAAAGGGCGTTCCCGGCTGACCTGGGATCTACCCCTGCAGTGGTCAATCCTGGAGCCCTTCATCCCTGCCTGGCTTTAGTAACCAGTGCCTGTTGTGGCTGCATTGTGTGCCCCGGCTGTGTCTGGCTGGCTGGGGACATTTTCCTGATTGAGACCTGGTAGGAGAGACCAGGACTCATGCCTGGGTGTCTGTTTGGGTGTCCCTTTGGTGGAGTGTGGTCAGGAGTAGCTGATCGTGAGATGTTTTGGGGGGATACCCTGGAGAAACGGGATGGAGGCTGGACTTGCACACTATTGGGAGGTGGGCATTGAAGGATAGTATTGAAGAGCCTCACCGTCCCCCCACCACCAGGAGGGACGCGGGGTAAAGGGAGGAAAGCCTCTCTCTCAGAGCTTCCCGGTTGCCAGTCAGGCTCAGAAATGAAGGAAGCCTCCAGCACCAACTCCACCTGCTTTGACCCTGATCAGTGGTCCAGGTTGCACAGCTGGAGCCTGCTAGCCAAGGGTGCCCTCTGGTGGCCATCATGGGGAGGGAGCGAGGAGCCTGTCCACAAAGGCGGGATTTTCATTTATGATTCCTTCAGCTAATACACAGTGAGTATCCCTGTACCAGGCACGGTGCCAGGCACATCTTCAGTCTAATTAAAACTATGCCTATCAATCATCTGTTAAATGCAAAGCTGTCTCTTGCGATCTGGCATGTGCTGGAAGGACAGAGAGAACAGACAGCACAGGTCAGCACAGGCTGTGGACACTTCAGGATCACTCAGGGAACCTGGGACGGGAAACAACCCCCCATTTGGACCTACCGAGCCCGAATGCACCGGAGTGGGGCACAGGAATGAGTGCTTTGTCAGTGTCCCCACTCCCACCCTCAGCAAGGGCACCTGGCTTGGACAGCTGGGTACCATGTCTGCTGGCCACAGAGGCAGGCGCTGACATCCGATTTTGCAGATGGAAAGATTGAGGCCTAGGTGAATGTTGCGTTCCCTGTTTCAGTTCAGAACGTCCATGGGGCAGAACTGTCTATACGACGGTGAAGATACAGCCTCTCTCCTAAGTACGGCTTGATTTTTTTTTTTTTTAAGTAGTCGAGGCCACAAATGGCACTTTTTGTTGTTCAGGAGGAAAGTATAAGGCGAGTACAAAGGTCTGTAATCTTAGCATTGTTGCCTATTAGGGAGTATGCTATGGTGGGATGGAGGACAGAAGGCATAGGGGAAGGAGGAGGGAGAAAATGGATTTATTTTGTAGCTCATGGTCAGTCAGGGCCACTCCCATCATGACCCCCCTCCTCCCCTCAGTCCATGCTACAAATGCAACATCCCCAAGGTCAGACTCTGGGGAAAGATCAGAGAAGTTGCCAACTGAGTCAACATGCTGGGAAATTCTCAGAGTCTAAAGACAGGGGACCATGACTGCTGGGAGCTCTGTGTCCCCAGGACACACTGAGCACGCCGGGTCACACACCAGGGGAATCCTACATGGGGCTTGATCCCCGAGTGCCCAGATGCAGCGAGTCAGTTACGGAGGTATTAACCCGCTGCCTGAGAAGATGTGGGCACACAGTACTGGTCTGCACCCCCTGGCTGAGCGCCGCCAGTATAAACCCCATGGCTGCTGTGTTGTCTCCCACCAGGCTGCCCCACACCCCGCTCCCTGCCCCCTTCTCCTTCCATAGCTTGGAAGCAGCCTACACAGAGGTCCTGCCAACCAATCACAACCAGAACAACCTATGATGTCATTAGTAGCCAATCAGAGCTCCTTGTGAGTGTATGCCGAATTCTGTCCCTCTTAGCTGAGGCCATGACATTCCAAAGCAACAGCCTCCTCTTGTAGACACAGGGAGACTGAGGCCCGGAGATGAACTGAGGCTCACAAGGGTGAGGCCAGCACTTCTGACCTTAGCCCAGTGTTTTTGCCATAGCCCCTGAGAACGCTACTAAAGCTGCGCTGGGCCGCAACGGGACACACACGAGGCAGAGCCTTCAACCTCCATGTTTTAGGCCTCAGCACAGTGCTTCCCTCCACCCCTCTGGGGAAGGACTCCCAGGGGCCCTGGCCAGGCTGTGCTGGCATGCTCTTATGAGCCCATCATGAAGAGGGACTGAGCCGAAGAAGGCGTTGGTGGAGGGAGCCGGGTAACTACTCTTACACCTGTCTCCGGGCAGTGCCAGCCTCTCAGGGTAGGCGGGGCCCAAGACAGTTCTACCAGCCCAACAGCCACACCTTTTGGGACATGGCCAGACCCAGCCGAGTCCCACCTGCAAACAGCAGGTAAACTTCGGTGGACAGGCTGAGTCTTTGAGGGCCTTGGGGGTGGATGACTGCCCTTGCATATGAGTGGGTGCTGTGTATGCCTGGCGGGGCACACATAGAACTTCCTGCATGTACAAAGGCCCTGAGTGGCAATGAGCTTGGCCTGTACCAAGTGGTAGCAGGAACAAAAGCATAACAATGAGAGGTGAGGGGAGGCCATGATGAAGCCATGGCTTCCGTGGCCTTTTTATAGAGGATTTCCTGTGAGAACACACTGAATCTTCTGAGGAGGCAACAGGCAACCAACTGCAGACAGCCCACACAACACAGCTTCAAGTAACGAGCATTGTGTGGAAAAAACCCAAGCAAAACCAGGCAACCCTGCTGATGGCAGTGGGGTTGGGGACACCCTTTCTGAGGAGGTGATCTGATACATGAGTGATCCTGGCTGTTACCTCTGACCACTGCCTGAGTTAGCCCATGGCAAGGTCCTGGGATCACCATTCTGCCAGCCTGGCCACTGTCCTGGGAAGGGGGAGCCAGTGGCAGACAAGGTGCCTTTCCTAAGCAAGTCCAGGCACTGAGGCGGCTCAGAGGACCCGAACTCAGTGCATGGGCACTGCGGCTGTTGCTGAGTTCGTCATTCTGCAGAACTAAGGGCACATCCACGTTGCAAGTCAAGGCACTGGACAACCTTAGAAGGCCCTCTCTTGATCTCACCTCGTGGCAGCCTCAGAGGGTCCTCTCCCGGCCTCACCTCTCTGGGCAGCCTTGGAGGGTCCTGGCCTCACCTCCCTGGGCAGCCTTGCAGGGCCCTCTCCTGGCCTCACCTCCCTGAGCAGCCTTGCAGGGCCCTCTCCTGGCCTCACCTCCCTGAGCAGCCTTGCAGGGCCCTCTTCTGGCCTCACTTACCCGGCAGCTGGAGCTGGGCGGGTCTTGGGGACCCAAGACAGGACAGCAGAGCCCCGAGCAGGCAGATTCTGAGACAGGGCTCTGACTGAGGCCTCAGGTGCCCTCCCAGCTTGCCCTGCCCTCAGTGTCCTTGTCTGTCCACTAGAACCTAAGCCGCCTGCCGCCAGTTGCCTGGCCATGACCGTCACCTACACGAACAAGGTGGCTAATGCCCGCCTTGGCTCCTTCACCCGTCTGCTGCTGTGCTGGCGGGGCAGCATCTACAAGCTGCTGTACGGCGAGTTCTCCATCTTCATCATCTGCTATTACACCATTCGCTTCATTTACAGGTACCAGGGCGGCAGAGAAGGCGCCCCGGGGATCCTAGAGGAAGAGGCTTGGGGCTTGGAGTTCCAGAGGGTCCTGCCAGCCAGCTAGCGGCCAACATACTAGGGAACCCTCAGAACAACCTGAGCTCCCGGCAGGCTATGGGGCAGCACAAGCCTAGCCAGAGCGTCTTGGACCCTATTTCCTCATTGCTTCCTTGACCTGGTCCCTCTGGGTAGGTCTGTTTTATAACATCCCACAGAGGTTTGTAAAAAAGATTTGTTTACTATTTTTATTAGAAAGAGTTACAGAGAAAAAGAGAGAGAGGGGGATGGGGAGGGAGAGAGAGAACTTCCACCTTATGGATCATTCCCAAATGGCCACAATGCCTGGAGCTGAGCTGATCTAAAGCCAGGAGTCAGAAGCTGCTGCTGGGTCCTCCACATGGGAACAGAGGCCCAAGGACCGGAGCCTTCTTCTGCAGCTTTCCCAGACAATAATCAGGGAGCTGGACCAGAAGTGGAGCAACCAGGACATGAACCAGCACCCACACAGGATGCCAGTAGCCTGCTATACCACTGCACGAGCTCTGCTAAACAAATATCTCAATACATTGTGGAACAGATATCATCCCATAATATGTGTCAGCATTTTAGACTGTAGAAGTGTAGCTGACTAGAGTCGATGGAAAGTGTCACAATGGCTCCATCCATCCATCCATGTGCTTAAGCTAATAATAACAGTATCGAAAGAGCATACTGGTCCTCTTTAGCTGTGAGACTTTAGGGTGTCTGCTGGCAGCAGAATCTAGCATGTCCCCGACCCCATACCTACATCACAGTGGTCCCTGTTTGTGCTGACACATCAATGTCACACAAAGGCCACAGCTCGGTGTGGACCATTCTCCAGTCTGGACAAACACATGGTGCTGCCGTCACAAGGTGGGGCCCTCTGGGGTCCCCATGCTCACCTCTCTCTCCAGCTCAGTGGGGCCAGAGCTGTGGTGCAGTGAATAATGCTCCTGCCCATGACGCTGGCATCCCATGTGGGTGCTGATTCCTGTCCCCGTTGCTCCACTCCCAATCTAGCTCCTTGCTAATGCATTTAGGAAATGGTGGAGGATGGCCCAAAGTGCTTGGGTGCCTGCACTCACTTGGGAGACCCAGCTGAAGTTCTACACTCTTAAGTTTTGGCCTGGCCCACCCCTGCTATTGCTGCCACTTGTGGAATGAGCCAGTTGATGGAAGATCTCTCTCTCTCTGTTTTTGTCTTTCTCTCTGGCATTCAAGACCATACACCTTGTACCTACCTGCTTTTTTTTTTAAAAAAAAAAAAAGATTTATTTATTTCTATTGGAAAGGCAGATCAGATTTAGAGAGAAAGAGAGCAAGCTCTTCCATCCTCCGGTTCACTCCCCAAATGGCCACAATGATCAGCCAGAGATGAGCTGATCTGAATCAGGAGCCAGGAGCTTTTTCTGGGTCTGTCATGTGGGTGTAGGGTCCCCAGGCTTTGGCCATCCTCCACTGCTTTCCCAGGCCACAAGCAAGGAGCTGGATGGGAAGTGGAGCAGCCGGGACACCAACAAGCACCTCTATGGTATTCTGGTGCTTGCAAGGTGAGGATTTATCCATTGAGCCATTGCACTGGATCCTCTACCTGTTTTTAAGTAGCAGCTCCTTGCCCTGTTCAACAGTCAGTGGTATGGGACCCCGAGTCTTTGTTCCCTCAGCTCAGCCGGGGTTCAAGATCAAGATTCTCGCTTAGTGCCTCCTCCAACCAAGTCTGTCTGGGTTTGGGTTCTTGGCCAAGCCAATGAAAGGGACAGGCTGAGGGGGCAGTACCTCCCCTGGCTGTCTCTTGCAAGTCTACCGTCTCCTCCCCAGGAGGGTCCTCAAGGAGAGCCATCAGACAATGTTTGAGAAGCTGAGCCTGTATTGCGAAGGCTACATCCAACTCATCCCCATCTCCTTCGTACTGGGTGAGCTACCCCTTCCAACTGGCCCAGGTCCATGATGTTGCCTGAGGCTCTCTATAAGACATGGGTGGTCAGGCACCAGAGATGCCAGTTAGACGTCAGGAGGGACTTAAGTTTGTGAGATCCCCCATACTTCCGGACGGGTCATGGGAGGGAAGCACGGGTGTCGTGGCCTCCCAGGAGCCGTCCCCTTGCAGGAAGGGAGGGGGCTGGCGGGTTTGTGGAGTGGATGAGAGGGGGTACCCCCCACCACCAGCAGAGATAACCTTCGAGGTCTATTGCCCCCATGTGAGGCTGTCCGAGCGCCTTGCAGGAGAGCTGAGCCTGCTCACTCGCAGCCACCAAGATGGAGAAAGCGAGATGCCGCAGGCTCCAGCTGCAGCCGGGGCCCTCGCCCCTCGCCTCCATGCTTCCTGCCAGGCTTCTACGTGACTTTGGTGGTGACCCGCTGGTGGAACCAGTATGAGAATTTGCCGTGGCCGGACCGTCTCATGAGCCTGGTGTCCAGCTACGTGGAGGGCAAGGACGAGCAAGGCCGGCTGCTGAGGCGCACGCTCATCCGCTACGCCAACCTGGGAGTCTTGCTCATCCTGCGCAGCGTCAGCCACGCTGTGTACAAGCGCTTTCCCACCTCCAAACACCTGCTGGATGCAGGTAGGCGGGACTGCAGGGTGGGGCCAGGCCAGCATGGGGACAGAGCAGGAGCTGAAGATGGGTGGGTTTCCCAGGCCTTTGGACTTGGGTGCGCCTAGGGTATGAGGTGGGACCAATATCTGGGGCCAGTTTTGGAGGGGTGGAGGTCGGAGGCCACAGAGGGCACAGAGAACTCAGGGGGATAAGGATGGCAACCCCCTTGGGCGGCTTCTCCCAGCACCTGCCCTCTTCCTTCCTTCCCGCAGGCTTTGTGACTCCCTCGGAATACAAGTATTTACAGACACTGACCTTACCACACAACATCTTCTGGGTGCCCTGGGTGTGGTTTTCCAACCTGGCGAAGGAGATCTGGCTAGAAGGTCGAATCCGGGACCCTGTTCTACTCCAGGGCCTGATAGACGTGAGCCTGAGACAGGAATGGGGCTGCTGTGGAGAGGGCAGGGCTGTGATCCAGGTGGAACAAGCCATCCTACCCAAGAGGCTGGAGCCCCCCGAGGGTCTTCCCACAGCCTGCCAAGGGGCTGTCGGATCTTTTCCAACAAGGTGGCCCTCCTCAAAGAACCCTCTTGCCCCTCCTTCTAAATGAGCCGGTGAGAGCCTGATTCCTGTTTGGTACCAGAGGAGGCTGAGGCACAGAGCAGGGGCAATGAGGTGCCCATGACCACACAGCCAGCATTGGGCCAGAAGCACTGTACCTGGGCTCTGGAGGTGGGGGTGGGCTGAGGTTGAGCCCAGGAGCACAAGTGGTGGTCAGAATCCCATGCCTCCCTCCTGCTCCCCAGGAGATGAGCTTCTTGCGGACTCAGTGTGGACACCTGTTTGCCTATGACTGGATCAGTGTCCCGCTGGTATACACCCAGGTGAGGACTAGGCTGGTGAGGCTGTTCCTTGGGCCAGCTGAGGACACAGCTTGTGAGGGGAAGGGCTTACCTGGAGGCTGAGCAAAAGGCTCATGATGGCAGCCGGGGCTGGACTTGGGTGGCAGTGCCAAGTTCAAAGATCCTAGGCCCAGGGATGGCCAGATGATTATCTGTGTCTTCCAGGGGGAAGCTGGGGAGTCACGCACATGACTTGCATGTGAAAGTCACAGCAAGGCCTTGGATTCCCTGCTGTGGACGCTTCCTGATCCCAGCCCTTTCCTGTCACCTCTTCCTCCCTCCCAGGTGGTGACCGTGGCCGTGTACAGCTTCTTCCTGGCTTGCCTGCTGGGCCGGCAGTTTCTGATTCCAGTCAAGGGCTATCCTGGCCACGAGCTGGACCTCTTTGTGCCTTTGTTCACGTTCCTACAGTTCTTCTTCTATGTTGGCTGGCTGAAGGTAAGCTCCCGGGCGCCTGGCAAGCTGGGATGAGGCTGGCTGGACCAGAAAGGAGGGAATCTCCGGTGAAACACAGTGTGGGAACCCCTCACAACCCCCTGTTCCACGTGCTGCCCATGTTGGCACTTCAGAGGAAACTGAGGCCCAAGCAGGAGGGATACTGTGCTTAAAGCCTATGTCTGAGTCCTAGGCTTGACCCAAGGCCTGGAAGCCAGCAGGCATTAGAGACAAGAAGGTGCAGTGACTCTAGCCCATGGTGCTCCTCAAATGTCTGTCTAGAACGAGGGGAATTCACAAACTGAAAGAGGCAGTGGCGGGCTCTGCTGGGAGGCAGTGTCACTCCCAAGCCCTTCTTTGTCCCATCCTCATCCGGTCGGGCTCTGGCCCTACACTGGTCACCTCTGCTGAGTGAAGTTGAAGTTCAGAGGTTAACTAGCCCCATCTAGTCCTATAAAGGGCACTTGGTACCACTGGGCTTTACTCAAGACACCTGCTTGCAGGGCTTTATCCCACCCCCTCACACTCCTTCCTTTCTTTCTTCTTCCACATTTTGGTAGTGTTGATACCGGACAGGCACACACACACACACACACACACACACACACACACACACACGTGCGCATGGACACTCATGCATGCTGTTGTTCCTTGTCATCTGCCACAAGATCTCATCACTTCCGTACTCTGAAGTGTCCCTGAGGCTTGCAGGATATTCCCAGGCCCTTAAGGCACCTTGTCACTCTGTGGAGCTTTTAAGATTTATGTTGTGTATTTAAATAGTGGAGAGAGACAGAGAGATGGAGAAAGAGATCTTCCTTCTGCTGGGTCACTCCCCAAAGGACTTCAACACCTGGGATTTGGCTAGGCCATAACCAGGAGCCCGGGACCCTTCGTGGGTCTCCCTCTTTGAATTTTGTCACTCCTTCAGCTGCATCAGCAGGAAACTGGATTGTAGGTGGGGCGCTGGGCCTCCAGCCTGGGGCTCTGTTATGCATGTCTGTGTCTCAGGCAGTACTTTTGCCTGCAGTGCCACAACACCGGCCCCTCGGGGTCCCTTAGAGATGCGTCCAGGACTCTGTGCCCGTGGGCCACCCCTTCATCCAGCAGGGCCCCCACATGTAGCTGCGAGGCATTAGAAAGCAATGAACAGACAAATGTAAAAAGACAGAATCCTACAATGCCAGATAAGTGAGAAAAGAGTGGTGACTCAGCTGAGTGACAGAGGGACAGCACTGGTTCAGGATGCTCAGAGGAGTCCAACATCTTGCAAACAAGGGGAACGTGTGTGGGTGTTCCCATGTGTGCGTGGCTGGAGCCCTATGTGGTGGCTTTAAAGACCATGGTCAGCAGGAAGAACATGGTGGGGCCGTGGAAATGTCAGGTGCCAGGGAATGGCAGGATGTTGAATTTCCCCTGAGGCTTCCCAGAGTGGCACCTGTCCCCCCAGGTGGCAGAGCAGCTCATCAACCCTTTTGGCGAGGATGATGATGACTTTGAGGTCAACTGGATTGTTGACAGGAACTTGCAGGTAAGAGCGGGAGGGAGGCAACTGCAGGCAACTAACTGCCTAGGTTGTATTGCATCTAGCCAAATGTTGCATTGCTGGGAGAAAAGCAGCTAATGGCTGGGTGCAGACATCCTGAACCTGGTTAATGCCAAATTTGTGTTTACTATACCAATGTACCAGCATAGTTGCCTACTTATTTTTAAATTCTCTCATTTATTTATTTATTTTTAAAATATGTAGAGGGCATACACTGGCATACCAACAGACAGGGTCTGTGGACTTGCGTGTGAATGCATGTTATCCTGGGTAGGCAGGGCCCCAGCCTACCATGGCACACTGCTGGAGGACCAGGCTTGGGAATCTGTACACACATGGGCGTGGGGGTTGTGGATTGCTCAGGGAAAGGGGTCTGGGAACGTGTGGGAGGGAGGACTGCTGAGAGAAAACAATGACTTCTGGGGGACTACCACTAACCAAGCTACCTCACTTTCAGGTAAATGAAGGGGCTAAGACTAGATGGTTTGGAGGAGGGAAACTGGAGTACCTTTGGGGGCCAAATCAATACACCTGCCCAAATGGGAGACCTAAGCTGGGCTTGTTGGTATCAACCACCACCTACCAGCACACATGAAACTCATGGTGGGGGGCCTGCCTGGCAGGGCTTGCCATGACACTAACCAGCACATGAGAGAACTGGGTCTTTGGAGCAGCTTTTGTGGGGGACTGTGGGCTCACCACTGTGAGACTGCCATACCATTTGGTTTGCTCAAGGGCTAGAAGTAGTGAAGAGTTGAGCTAGACATGACCATGGAACTCATCAACACTCATGGGTGCTGGGGTTGGGAGCAGGCAGAGCTGGTGCAGGCTGTAGCACCTGTAGGTGCACCCAAGAATGAGATGTAGAGTGGGTGAGAGCCACAACATTCATTGGCACACATAAAGGTTGACACTGGGGACCAGATTATGCTGGGTAAGGATGTAGTGCCGGCTGACACATGTGAGATCTGGGTCTGGGAGTGAGTCTGGTGGGGGAACTTGGGAATTCTCCTGGTGGGCTGTAACCCCCACTGGTAGGTACATGATTCAGGGCTGGGTGTGGGGGCAGGCTTAGCAGGGCTGCTTCATTTGTGAGTGTGTGGGTTGGCTTTGGAGGGGTGGACTGAGCAGGGCCAGGCTAAACCATAGCACACTGGCATGCCTGATGAACCAGGATGGAGAGAGGGCCATACTGGGCTGGGTTAGGTTATCACACCTACCAGTTTTCATAAAAGCCAGGGATGGGGACAGATTGGGTAGGGCTAGACTGAAGCACCCACCAATAGGGGGCAGGGTAGGCCAGGCCAGGCTGCAGAATCTAATGGTGATGAGTTATGCTGAGCTGGGTCAGAGCAACCACCAGCATGTCCAAGATCTATGGTTGGGAGTAAGCCTGGTCAGGGAGCTAAATGGACGCCCCAGCTGGGCTGTGGTTCTCACTGGTGAGTGCAAGAGCTGGAACGGGGGTGGTAAACTGGGTTGAACATGGTTGCAGCATCTCTCAGCATGGCTGTGGACTGGGTCTGGAGTGTGCCAGACTGGGATAGGTTCCAGCATCCACTGGTGCTTGTAGGAGCCAAAGTAGATGTAGCACAGGCTTAGCTAGGTCTCTGCACCTGCTGAACCATGCAAGAGCTGGGTCTGGGGGTGGGCCAGGTGTGGGCTGGACTGTAGTGCCCAATAGTAAGAGTTGGAATGGGTGTGGGCTGGTTGGGCAAGGCTACTGTACCTGCGAGGACGGAGGTGGGCCCAAATCATTGAGGCCAAAACCCACTGGAATACGTGAGATCTTGACTGAGAGTTGATTTGATTGAAGAGCTTCGGGAACTACTCTGTCAGGACATAGTCCCTGCAGGTGAGTACAAGAACCAAGACTGGGAGCAGCCCAGACCAAATCAGGTTACAGTACCCATTGGCATGCAAGTGGGTCATATCTTGGGGTGAGCCAGGCTGGGGCAGTTCATAGCACTCATTGGCATATGTGAGAACCAGAATGGGGTGCAGAACTGACCAGATTAGGCCATAGTACCATCCAGTTCACATTAGGGCCAGGACTGGGGGCCTGCTGGGCTGGGCTAGGTTAGGCTGCAGTACCTACAAGCATAGGTTGGAACTGGGAACAGACCAGGCCGGGCCAGGCTGCAACACCTGCCAATGAATGCCGAGGTGTCCCTGAGAACCTGCTGATGAATGCCGAGGTGTGTGGTGGGCAAGGCTAGGCTGGGCTACAGCATCCATTGGTTTGCATGTGAGGTGGAGTTCAGGACAGAAGTGACGGGGTGACTGCAACCCTTAGTGTGTATGTAGGCTGATATGGGTGAAAACCTGAGCTGGCTGTACACATGGAGTCAGGTCTGGGGTCATCTCTGGCAAGGTTTCTTTGGAGATTCCCCTAACTGGATCACTGGACTCAGAACTCCAACCACGGTGAAAATCATAGGATCTGTAGTCTGATCATGGAGTGTGTGTGTCAGAACTGGGTCTCCTTGGTTGCTGAGGCCTCTGTAGCAGATGGCATGCCCAGATGCTCATGGGGAAATGACAATTAGTTCACTGAGGCCTGTAGAGGACATCTAGTACTATGGAGCACAGAACAAATTGGATGGCACCCCTGGCCAAGCTTTGAGAGTATCTGAGTGAATGGAGACTCTGAGGTGTGGGCTATTTTAGTCAATGGACCTTAGAAGGATTTCCTCAATCTTGGGGCAATGAAATCAACAGCATCTCAGAACTATCAAAACCACTTAATACCCTGAGAACATGCTCCACGTTGGGGTCCCTGAGATGACCTTGGGCAGCCTTGGGCAGTACCTTCCTTGGTGCTGATGTGGTTGGGCTGCTGGGAGTGGCCCATCTCCCCTTCTGTCTCCACTTTTCCAGATACAGGAAGAGATTGGAGGCAGTTGTCTCATTCACTCGCCCCCATTCCTCAACCCTCCCCACCCCATCAGTGGCCCACACGGGCATGTATCTCTCAACTATGTGAACACCATCAAAAATACAATGAATTTATTATTTAAAAAGGGGAGGGGACAGGAGGGAGAGTCCAGCTGCCCCTCCTGGGCCCAAGGTGAGGGACCCTGTGTTTCCACGGCTGACCCCTCCCTTACAGCCCCAGGCTGTGTGCAGGCATCTGACTCTCCGCTTCACAAACACAGGGACTAGCTGAAGGGCAGAGGGAGGAGAAAGTGCTTTTCCTTTTTATTTTTTAAATATTTATTTATTTTTACTGCAAAGTTAGATGTTACAGAGGAGGAATGACAGGAAGATCTTCTGTCCGATGATTCACTCCCCAAGCAGCCGCAACGCTTGGAGCTGAGCCGATCCAGAGCCAAGAGCTCTGGAGCCTCTTTCAAGTCTCCACTCGGGTGCAGGGTCCCAAGGTTTTGAGCGGTCCTCGACTTATTTCCTAGGCCACAAACAGGGAGCTGGATGGGAAGTGGGGCCACCAGATTAGAACCAGCACCCATATGGGATTCCGGGCATGTTCAAGGTGAGGACCCCAGCCGCTAGGCTATCTCACCGGGCCCAGGGCTTTTTTAAAGAGGCAAGTTCACCAGCCTTCCCATGGTGACCTTCCTGGGGACGTTCCTTTTTGTCCCTGGTGACCAGGTGTCCCTGGTTTCTGTGGACAACATGCACCAGAACGTGCCTATGTTGGAGCGGGACATATACTGGAACGACCCGGAACCACAACCCCCCTACACAGTGGCTTCCTTCCACTCCCGGAGATCTTCCTTTATGGGCTCCACCTTCAACATCAGGTAGGTGATGTCAGGGCACTGGCTGAACTATCTCTTCCTCCCCATGCCTACACCAAATGCAGCATCCTGTACCAGAACTTAGGGTAACCCTAGTTAGCATTTATTGGGTGCCCCACAAGGGCTGGGCACTTTAGATGCTCTTTAGAATGAGATCACTACTTTTTCCTCCCAACAACCCTGATTTTTTACCCCCGGCTTTCTGCACATTGCACACAGAGACTAGCAGAGCTGGCAAGGGGTACATCTACAGCTGTGATCTGCTGCCACCTCACACTTTGAACCCTCATCTGTGCTGTTTAAGGACCCTGTAAATTGGAAGGGGTCTTCTCCCAGGCCCAGGGAGAAAAGGGACTTCCCTGAGTGCTCAGCATAGGTGGGATTCATGTCTCTGACTTGGACCAAGTTCTGGTTGGGGAGTGAAAGTGGGAGGGCCCAGGAGTCGGGGAGGGGCAGCAAGTCTGACCTGGGTGATGCCGGGCACCTCTCCTCCTCACCTGCCATGTGAACCGTGTCTTGTGAAGCAAAGGGTCGAAGGCCACCACAGTAGCCAGGCTTCCACTCACATGTGTCCATGTCCTGGACTCAGCCTGCAGGCCTCTAGGGCTGCAGTGGCAGAAGAGCCTTCCAGACAGTCCTCTGTACTGGGGTTGAGAGCCGACAGAGCTTGGCAGGCACATGCCAAGGCTCTTAAAGTCTTCTGCCACAGTTTTTTTTCCTTGCTCTTTGAAGAATCCAATGGTGTATCCAACTTTGAGATCGATAAAAGTCCTTAGTGTGAGGAAGTTTTGATGAAGGCTGGAGGCTTGCTGAGGTCAGAAGGTATCTGCATGTGAGCCACATGGGATCTGTACCCCAAAAGCTGAAGGTTGGGGCCGGGAAGCATGGATGTTAGATGAAAATGCCTGGAAGTGGAACTGCCAGGACCAGAACTGGCAGTTATACAGGATGCCAGTGCTGAAGGTGGAGGCTTAGCTAGCTGAGCCATTGTGCTGACCCCTGTGTCCCCTTTCTTTAGTCTGCAGAAAAGAGAGATGGAATTCCAGCCAATTCCAGAGGAAGAAAATGACAGTCTCCTGGAGCAGCAGCCCTATCCCTATGACTTCTGTCATCCGAGGAGGGTCCTAGATACCACCAAACCGCTGTGCCCCAGGAAGAAGTGCTCTCTCTGGGGCCAGCCCAAGAACACCGAGCAGAGTGCCAGGGACTGGGAGGGCAGCAACCCCTGGAAAACTCTGGCACCAGAGACCTTCAAGGTGGCGCCGCTGATCATGGGGACAGACCTCATAGCCCCTCAGACCCCTCCTGGCCACACTCATGGGTTCTGCCTCCCAGAACATTCAGAGTCCTCGGGGCCTTGTGGTGTCACAAGCATGGATGCCCAAACTTCTGGGACTAACAGCAGTTTAGAGTTGTCCCCTCAAACCAGTGGGGCCTTGATTGAGTACCCAGAAACAAGGAGGAAAACTGTCGAGTTTAACATGACTGACATGCAAAACGTCCCTGAAAGTCATCCCAGAGAACAGAATCTGGAACTTTCCGGGAGCAGGATACACTCCAGACTCAAAGATCAAAGGAATCCTTAACTTGGGAAACAGGTGTGTCCTCCACTCGAAGCAGTCATGGCCTCCATGGGGCGTGACCTTCTTCCCCATCCCCCTCCCCTCACTGAACCTACCATTGCTCCCAGTTTCTATGGTTCCATTACTGCAACAGCATTCTGCATCTATGCCCAGAACTGCTCGGGGCAGACGTCCTCCTGCCTACCCCAGCGGTGTGGGGGAACCTGGCATCACTAGGGAAGACTTCCCTGGGAGCCAAGTGAAGATTAAAGCGACACTGATACTGGAAGGGCTGGCAGGACAGGCCCAGATGGGCAGGGCTAAGGAAGCTCTGGGTTGTAACCAAGGACTTGACTAGCAGCACATAGTTACACAGGACTGGCATATATGCAATGCGTGCCAAGAATGCCAGGCACTGCTTAGTAACTGCCAGATGGCAAGGGTGAAGGCAACCAGGGCTCATGAGCTGCTTCCTGTTTCCTGGGCTTCACCAACATGCTTCTCAATTTTGTGTTTCAGATCCCCTGGACATTTTCATCCAAGCTACAGCTGTGTGGGAAGGAAGTTCAACTTCCTGTTTCTTTTTTTAACTATTTGAAAGGCAGAGTTACACAGGAGACCCAGATTGCCCATCTGCTGGCTCACTCACTAAATGGCTGCAGCTGGGCCAGTCCAAAGCCATGAGCTTCTCCCAGGTCTCCCGCATAGTTATAGGAACTCAAGGACTTGGGCCCTCCTCCGCTGTCTTCCCAGGCCATCAGAAGTTGGGCCAGAAGTAGAGCTGCTGGGACTCATTCCTGCACCCATATGGCATGCTGGTGTTGCAGGTGGTGGCTTAACCTAACTGTCCTAGCTTCATTTAATTCTTAAACATTTCAGTTTGTTATGACACACAGCTATTGGGATTAAAAAACTTGAAACTTTGCTCCAGCTTGCTTCTAGGGCTGGGTAGGACTGTGAACTGTAGCTGTAGTTGGGAAATTACATTCCAAATTCGATGAGATTTCAACCTTATCCCTTCCACTACAGAAATTCTAGTACCAATGGAGACCTTCTGCCTGCACTCTGTTAACTGTCTCCCATTGCCCGCAGAGAGGAAGCACACTCCTAAGGGAGACACTTCTCCAGCCTGGTCCTCAACTGCATGTCCACTGGCAGGACACTGGCCTGGCGACAGCCACTCAGCAGTCCGTGCTCAAAGACTATGTCCCCGACGGCTGGGTTATGAACAGCTTAAAGGGGAACAAAAGGTCGTAGTCCAGGACTACTTGTCTTCCAACGTCTTTTCTGCCAAGAAACTGGGAGACTCAATCTCTGGAAGCACATATCACAGAACGCCGAACTCCGGATCCCAGCTCCTCAGCCTACTTGCATTCCTGTGCTTGGTATCTTTCCCAAACTAGAGCTTAATAAACACACACACTCTGCTAGGTGTCTCGTTTGGATGTGAGCAATCCTGAACCGTGAAATGTCAAAGGCAGCAGCCTGGATAGGCTGCTGACCCACCCCATGACTGCCAAGACAATTGGGTACCAAATTTCTTTATTTGAAAGGATGGTACAAATTAAAGTACATAGGTGGATGTTTTGGTACTGTGTATAGAAAAGGTCAAGGTGGCCCCGATATGCATGCACTGCCTTGGTGCACAGCCAGGGAAGCTGCACCCTGGCTGCAGCATGGTCAGCTGCAGGTTTTAGCTCTGGTTATCACCGTGTCCCAGGGTGTGCTTGTCGAAGAGGTACTCTGCCATGCCAGCTGTGGGGGCTCCCATCCTGCGCAGGTTGGTTACGTGGTCGCCCAGTTCCTTGATGGCCTTCACCTGCTCATCCAGGTAATGAGTCTCGATGAAGTCGCACAACTAGAAGAGAGAGGGTGACAAGAAGTTAACTGATTAGCTTTCCCAATCCCTTGGGCAAGTGACTTTCTCCACGTGTTCCCAGTACTCACGTGGGGGTCATTCTTGTCAGTGGCCAGTTTGTGCAGTTCCAGTAGTGACTGATTGACACTTTGTTCCAGGTGCAATGCACACTCCATTGCATTCAGGCCATTCTCCCAGTCGTCACGGTCTGGTTTCTGAATGAGAGGAAGTTTGGTCAGTGCACCTGCCCAGGAAGCCACCCAACATCTAGGAACAGCCACATGCTGACAACAGCTTCCGGTTTCACGTCCTTGACCACTAGTGTTTATCCACCCGAGTTTAGGTGGGAGGGCTGAGAGGGCACAAAGGGCAATGACCAGATGTATTGCTGTTTTGTAACTAAGTGCATGACGCTGTCAACCAGTGAGTCCCAACACCCAAACCACCACAGGTTACCAAGCAGGACACCGCTCAGACACCGCTCAGACCGCCTGTTCACCTTGATGTCCTGAAGGAAGATCCGGCCCCCGCGCTGGTTCTGCAGCTTCATCAGTTTCTCCGCATGTTCCCTCTCCTCATGAGACTGGTGGAGGAAGTATTTGGCAAAGTTCTTCAAAGCCACATCATCACGGTCGAAGTAATAAGACTGAAAGCAGAACACGGAGACAAACCATCAGGGACTGCCCCAGGAAAGCAGCTACCAGCGTCAGGTGGTCAAGACGGCCTGGCCGGCTAGCCTTGGCCTCGCTCTGTCTTCTTTTCCTAAGTACCTGTGTGGTTTATTGAAAGAGTACAGAGTCTCTTCATTTTTACCCTTACAAAAGCATTTATTTGAAAGGGCAGAGTCTTCTATTTGTTGACTCACTCCCCAGGTGGCCGCAATGGCTGTGGCTGGGTCAGGTCAAAGCCAGGAGCCAGAAACTCCATCTGGATCTCGCACAGGGGCGGCAGGGGTCCAAGCACTTGGGTCATCCTCCAGAGACCCTGGATGAGGGTGCAGAACTGCACCTTCTGCACTATGCAGTCAGAGTGGCAGGGAGTGGACCGGAGGTAAACTCAACCCGACACCCAAATGGGATGCTTGGCGGCAGGCCAAGTTCCTGGGCCCCAAGCAGAACGTCTGAACGACCTCCATTTATGCAGGACAACTGGAGGGAGGCGGCTGGAGCATTTATCTGGCATGACTCTCTCCCACCCTCGCCCTCCCTGATCCACTGCGCTTCATCAGGGCGAGAGCAAGGAGCTCACCAGCCACCAAACCCGCAGCAGGGCGCTGAATTACAATGGACACCAGGTAAAGTGACAACCGTGGGCACTCAATGGGCAGAAATCGATTATCAGCAGAAAGGAAGCAAGCTCTTGCTGTGCTTGAATGTTCCTGAAATGGAACGGCAGTCACAGAAACCCAGTACTGCTTTGCAACCTGTCTCTTCTTGGACAATTTGCACATTGTCCAAGTATGAACTCCCACCCACACCATCCAAGGCCAGAATTTTGGGAAATCTGTCTTACTGGTTACCCAGTAACCCGTGGTGGACTTGAGCCAAGGCCTCAGGATCCATTAGCAGGGGGCCACATCAGGCAAAAGAGAAAGGACATAGAATTAAGTACCCTGGGGTGGAGGTGGTGGCGCTAGAGGCAGATGGCGCTAGGGTGGAGGTACAAGGGGAGATCTTTGGAGATAAGGTTCAAGGGCAAGTGGGACTTAAAGATAAGCAGAGGTGGAGACCGTTGCCGAGAGGGGTCTGGGCCCCCAAGAGATAAGCCACTGTATGCACCAGCCCCCAAGGCTGTTATCCGACACCATTTCCCAGAAGGCCCTGCTGTAACCAAGGGGCTCAGAGATGGACAAGGCAAGCGGACAAGCCTCTGGACCACGTGATTGAGGGCAGAAGCCCTGGATGGGGTGTGCAGGACTGCAAATTTCCCGACTATGCAAGCCACAAGTCTTACAAGACTGGCATTTAAGGATAGCAGGCCTTCTTTAAGTAGAAGTGTGCAGAGGGGCCCTTGTCCTTTAGGGGACTACTCGGACTTCTGCGCCAGCCACCGCCTGGGGAGAAACCGAGCAGCCTCCATTTTCCACAAAGACGCACGGACGCGGCGGGGGACAGGCCGCCCTCTGACCACGCCCCAGCCCAGCCCGCCCTCGGCTCCGGCCGCCCGCTCGCGCTCACCATGGACAGGTAGACATAGGAGGCGTACAGCTCCAGGTTGATCTGGCGGTTGATGGCGGCCTCCGAGTCCTGGTGGTAGTTCTGGCGCACCTGCGAGGGGCCCGCGGTCGTCATGGCGGATGGCTGAGAGGTTATGGCGGCTGCACGGAGCTGGAGCGGCGGCGAGGGCCCGGGGGCAGTCCGAGGGCGCTGTAAGAAGGTGGCGGAGGAGCGCTGGCTCTGAGTGGCCGGCTGGGGTGGGGGGTCGAGCGCCGGGTTCCGTTCAAGCACTGTTGAAGCAGGAAGCCGCGGCGACTCTCGCACAAGAGCGTCTGGCGCAGACAGGCTCCCGCAGCGCTCTTATAGCGGGCGCTGTCGTCAGGCCCGCCCCGGCCAATCAGCACCGCCTGCCGCCGAGTCCCGCCCCTTCCGGTGGGCACGCAGCTCGAGACCCCAAGGGGTGGGGTGGGGTGGGGGCGGGGGACGGGCGCGGGGAGGGGGACTGGCCTGGGGAGGTTGGGCTGTGCAGTGACCACGGCGGGGGTCTGGCGGGCCGGAGGGGACAGGGGACCCGAGGAGGCGTCCCGTGCCCTCAGGACAGGCTTAGTGAGGGAAAGAGGTGGCTGGAAGCCCGTCGGGAGTTGGGGGGGGGAGGAACGGGTTTATTCCCAAGTCCCAAACGGGCAGTCGGGGACCCTGGGCCCAGGACAGCTGCTGAAACCATGGCAGTGTGGGCAAAGCAGTTACCACACCCGGAGGCCATTACCTCGTAATACAAATTGGAAAATGGCAGGGTGCTGCGTGGGCCCCAGCAGGCTGAGTGAGTCAGAAGTTGTGTTGGGAAACGGCCACTTTCTCTTCCTCAGAGAAGTCTGGTGGGGAGAGCAGGGGCCCGGGGCCTGCGGCCGGTTTCAGGTCCGCCCCGTCCTTCTGACTGCGATGCCCACAGCTGCCTTCTGCCGAGGGCAAACATGGCTGCCTGTGTGTTTACAGAGAAAGCTGGGCGGGCC